GTACCAGAGGCCGCTCTTCCCCTGCTCGTCCCTCCACTGAGCGACCTGCTCGAGGGCGACGGAGACGTACGCGCGCAGACACTCGCCGCCGTTCTGGAGAGGGGAGGGAAGTGAAGAATGAGTAGACGTAACAGGAGAGTGGTGTTAAGACTATTGAAGAGGCCAGCAGATTTGTGCAGAGTTAATCACATCAATACAGCACCGATGGGATATTTCTTTACATTGTTTTTGGTTTACCTGCATTATCGTGTTGTCGTCAGTGCGTAAGGTGCACTGTGCGACCACAGGAAAGGCCTGGCACACCAGCATCTCTGACAGAGGGGGTTTGGTGTTTCGGACGACTGTGGTCAGGATGTCTATAGACGTCTGAGGTACGGACAAAATAAAGAAAAGTGGTAAGACTCTGTCACAAAACTCAGGCAAAAAACATCAAAATGCTAAACTGATTGTATCGGCTTGGTCCTGTAACATTTTTATTCTGTCAAATGTAGACAAATTGAAATTGCAGAGTCATTAATTCACAGGATTAGAGGGAAACGCTGGGTGAGGAGGACATTAGGAAATGGGTGGCGGCTGATTGCTCATCTGGTTGAGTGCAATAATTTAACCAGATTACTTCTAACAATAGATACATACAGCATGAGCAAATTAATTTGCAACACCTAGTGTCCAGTCTATTAAACTCACTACAGTGACTGTAAAATGCAAAACTTCTGAAATAAACTGACTGTCTGCCAGAAGGACAACATGCTGATGCTACTGTGGGAATTGTTGGATCTAAAAACTAAATTGAACTGTCTCTAAATTATACTAGGACGAAGGAGTGAAGGACTGGTGAAGACATTTAGTGGGGCAAATATTACAGTTTATACCAAATATCATGGCAAACTTGCCAGTAGGTAGAGATATATTGTTGTGACGTTTACATGCACAAAATATTCTGGTTTTATTCTGATAAAGACAATTTTCCTATAAAGCTGTTTACATGGCTATGAATAAGGAATAAACCTCTAATATTCCTGTTTACATGCAGAAGTTTTCCACTGGTTGGCAGATTTGTTGGAGCACGCAAACACAGCATTCCTCTTTCACTCGTTCAACCACCTTTATAAAAAAACGTTCGATGTGAAATATTGCCTCTGCAAGGTTCGGCTTTCTATACGTCCGTGTGTCTTTTTGTGCCACTGTCTACTTACAGCACAGAGTCCGGAGGGAATCTTGTCGGGGGGAGCCTGCATGATGCTGACCAGCGTGGGGATGAGGCGCATCTGCATGGGGCCCTGGCAGCCTTCGATCTGTGCCAGTTCCTTAAAGATGTCCTGAGCCAGGGACGCCACCACAGGGTCTGAGGAGAACAGAGGAGACAGGGCCTGAGAAAAGATAAGAGACAAATCACATCTACGTGTCTCCTAACTTAACATTTCAATGTCCCAAAACTTTGTTTTCCTCACTGATTCCAGCTTATCCATGTCAAAGAATTAGAGACAAGTTGGAAAATTTAAAGTCCCAAATCTTGGGTCCTCTATTTAACCTTTAAAAGACAAATTACAAATTAAGAGAAAAAGCATGGAAGAAAGAAACGGTGTGAATGTAGTGTGACAGTCTGACAGAGGTCTATAGCAGTACCATTGTTATATTTAAGGAAAATAGCAATGGTGAGGGGGCAGATCTTGTTCTCGGCACTGGTGGTGAAGGCCGGGTCTACGGTGCAGACGATGCACAGAGTCTCCATGACGAGGGTGAGCACCTCTGAGCTGAACTGAGCGGCCAGTTGGACCAGACCCTCGAGGATGCTGGGGAGGAAGGGCTGAAGGACGTGTGTGCTCTCAGACAGCTTCAGCTGATCACAATACCTGGAGAATGACACCGATAGGAGTGTAATAGAAGTAGTATGACCAGACAGTATTAACCCAACGTTTTTATACCTTTAGGATTTATTTAGTGATCCTTTCAAACTCTTACTGGAAGTGTTAAATGTAAGTTTTATATCTCTGGTGAATGCTATTTGATTTGATTTATTTAACAAGTTTCCACTCTAACTGAGGTTTACAGAATAAAAGTATCAAACATCTCTTCTAGATGGAAAAACAAAAACAGCATTAAACAGGTCAACAGTTCCTATTTTAAGCAATAGTTCAACATTTCGGGGAATACGCTTGTTCCCTTCATTGCCGAGAATTAGATGAGAAGATTGATACCGCTCTGTCTGCAGCCAGCAGCTGCTTAGCTTATCTCAGCACAAAGTGGAAACAGCATCTTGCATCTAGTTTGTTTAATGTGTGCCAAAACCAAAGTGTAAAAACAAACAAGTAGCAGTTTTACACTGAATTGTGTCCTGGTTCTCAGCTGTGTACAGTCACTTCCTGGAGTTACCTGTGCCCGGCCAACAACTACAAATGAGTCATGGTTAGTTAGAGTTAATTAGCTTTAGAGGTGTTGGCAGATTTTGTTACCAGGCTGTTTCCACCCGTTTCCAGTCTTTGCGCTGAGCTAAATGGCCCTAGCTTCACATTTACCATCAAAGTTGTATCTTCTCATTAAACTCGGATTTTGCTTTAAGCTGTGTACGTATACATCAGGGGAAACATAACATTTGTCTATAGAATATACATCAGTATCAGTATAACTCTGCCTCTGTGGTTTCTGGCTTCGAGATACAGTTGTTCATGCTTGTTGTGTTGGATCACAAAAATAACTCTGTTTCAGCAGCAGCACAGTTATAAACACAGCTCGCTCACCCCCAGATGGCCCTGACCGCCGAGATGCGGACGGAGGGCGGCTGGCTGTCGTGGAGGCCGCTGACGGTGGCCTGGAGGAACTGCTGGATGAGCTCAGGAGACAATGCTGCCCCTGTGGAAGGACCATGGGCCAGCCAGAGAAGAAGGCGCGACGGAAGCGAGAGGGGTGGGTCGGAGAGACAAACCCAAAAACAAGAGGACAGCCGGAAAGAAGTCCAGAAGGAGAGAAACAAGCAGTGACGGATTGGTATAGTTAATCCAATTCATTTCAACATCAATTCCCATGTTTTACCCTTATGAAGATATTGAACTTGGTACTTAGTAACTAGACAATATTATAATGTTCTTAATACAATAGTACACATGTAAGTGCCTTGATATATACTATTTTATTTTTAAGTGCTGCTTCACGCCGTGTTCACTGATCTTCTAGAAAAAGGATCAGTTTAGGACTCACCTGCCAAGTTGAGGTCAGCGAGGATGACACTGGCCAGGAAACCGTGCATGTCAAACTGGATACGGCCGTTCTTTACGTTCTCCGTGATGATGGTTTTAACAGAGCCGAGGGCCAACATGCAGGCCTCATGGATCTTCCACCTGGTATTAAAAAACAAAACAAAACAGATATTACTTTTGACTTTTGCACCGATGAAATCAAACAGTAAAACCAGGATGGCAGTCCTCAATTAATGTGGCTCAGATTCGACAAAGCTTCAGTGTTCGTGTAGAGTCTCTCCTCACCAGTGCTCATTGCCACTGTTCTTGGCCTGCTCTGCCTCCTGGAGATGTCTGGTCGCTGCCGCTGCCAGCGCTGCAGCGCTCTCGTTCTGAAACTCTGCAGCAACAGCCTGCACACAGAGGTCAAAGGTTACAGTCATTATACAAACTCTCAGGGCGGGCCAGAGGCTGCAAACTGAGCTGATGAGCACAGAGTTGCTATGCTACGACTGCAAACTATATAAATGTATATTTCTGACCCCTGTTTTACACATGACAGCACTGCTCAGCATCCTTATGATTCAACACTGCATAGACCATCTCTGTTCTAAAGCAAACAACCATCTCCAGTCCTTTTCAAGGGCCGGAGCAACATGGTTTGACAGATGCCTCGAGTGTTTGCGGAGGCTGTTTGTGTAGGAGAAGTAAAAAGAAAAGCAAGGAGGCGTGTTTCTTCAGACTATGTGTGGAAATAGACGTCTAGCGGGCATGAATGTCCTCCCATCCTCTGCAGACAGGACTGAGCAAAATATAACTGGAAAGATTTAATTTTACCAACCTGCCTTTTACCTGGAAATTAATGCGCACAACAGACAAAACATACAGAATTAAAACAGGCAAACACTCCAGAGATGGCTGAACAGAACAGGTTAGGTGTAAAAAGCACCCTCAGATTTCCTTTTAGTGCTAGACGTGATTTGTTGTGAATTTACAATAAGTATAAGTATCTCACCAGCAGCAGGTCCTGAGCAGAGATCCTGACCGAGTAGGAGAAGGTGTCATCATCCTCATCCTCTACAAACTGCTGGGGGTTAGCCGTCCACACTTTGATCTACAGAAACAAGAGGGCAAACACCATCAGGCCCAACACCAGTGAATCACCATAATTATACACGATGCATTTACTCGTCCGACGCCAGCACAAATTCATGTGTTTAAAGGTCATTTCTCACCTGGTCCTCAGTGATTTGCATGTAGAGGATGACATAATAGATGAGTTCAGGCAGCGCTTTCTTCACTGTGCTCTTGAACTTGTTGTTCTCCAGCAGCGTGTGGACAAACTCAAAGATGCTGAACACCAGATTCTCGAAACCCAAAACCTCACCTGCAAAACATGAGACGATGAGATCAGAAACAAACAAAACAAAAAGGATGGTGCTTAGGATGATGTGAACTCTGCTCACCATCTGAGTCTATAGGGTCGTCCACTTCCTCTGTGTAGTTGACTTCTGTTCGCACATAAGTGAATATATGATTAAGGAATACTCAACATCAACTAAAAATAAAATAAAAATCATTTTCATCCTTTTTAGGTCTTGTTCGTACTCATCTCACAGGACTTCTTGCTTAAAAAAAAGGTCCAGATTTCAGTCTTATTTGCTTCAGTCAGACAAAATGTATGTCAGAAGTAGAATTTACTGTCTCTCCAAGTCTTTTTCTCAACATGAAAGTGTTTTGTCCTTGCTGAGTAAGGAGGTGACTTCCATGTAACAGCATGAGCTTCTGCAGTGAGGTGGATTAGTGGTTTAAAAAGGATGTTCTGTAACCAAAAAGGCCACCAACACCAATCTCACAAGTGTTCGACAAAATGCCCACGAGGAAGTAAAACCTCTGCTTATATCATGGTTTTTTCCCCCCACCCCAAAAGGGATTTTAACTCATGAGTCTAATCAATGCGATTACTGCACAGACAGCAGTAGTTATCCCAGCAAGAAATGAGCCAATACACAGCGGTAAAAGGATATAAAGCTGCACTTTCAGTCAGCGTATTCCACACAATGGGTAATATCTGCTGCATGGACGACACCATGGGTTTGGGGAAGTTCTTCACCAACGCTGTCACTGCCTGATGAAAAAGAAGAAATACAGATTTGAAGCATTAATTGCAGACACTATACAAGTTAATATAAAATAATGATTAAAAACCACTACCCTTTTCTTGAGTTAATGAATATAATATCACCAACTTTACCATACAGTTTTAAAAACATTCAAAAAGGACATCAAATGTCTAAAAATGAGCTGAGACATTGAGACATGAGCAACTACTGGCTGACTCTGTGCAGTTTCTCACCTTGAGGACTTCCATCTTGAGACCGCTATCAGATGAGGGTCCATCAGGCATCTGCAGAGCCTGCACAAATGCTTCTGTGAACTGCTGCACCACAGGGAAGATCAGCGCTTTGGCTGCACCCTAAAAGACACAAACACAGTATTGTAAAATACTGAAATAAAGAAGTGTTACTGGAGCAACCAGGACAACATGAGGTCAATTTCACAAACACTGATTTAAATAAATCCCACAACAGTCTTTCCTCTGTTGTATCTTATTGAAATCTCTATCTCAACTTTTTCCACAGCAGAAGAGATAATCCATTATGTAAGTTTTCATTAAAACATCCTGAAAGAAAATGCTTTTATGTTTTGTGGTGACCGTCTCACCTTCTCAAGCTCTTCAATAGCACAGATCAGGTTAGCACAGGTGGTGAAAATCTCCACTGCTCTGGATCGGGTACGAATACTGTACACCTGTAATATTTAAGGAACATTAAAAAGGTGGCCCAAACGTCACATCAGACCAACACAGTGCAGCTATTATCAGTAACATAAAATAGTACATTTACTATCGGTATGTGACAAAATCAGTGCATCCAGAAAAAAAGTTAAAATGCTAAAAAATACAGTGAATTTATTCCTTTTCAGGCAGGAAAAAGGTGCAAAAACAGTTTAAGTTTCAATACAGGATAATATAGAGTTGTAGGAATACCTCGGCCATGGTGAAGATCTTGTACATTTCGGGTAAGATGACTGGAGCCACCAGCGGCATCTGTGTATCTGTCACCTCCCGAGTAAACTCTGGATATAACAGACAACACGTTGTTACGTAAACAAACAGACATTTAAAATACACATTTTTTCTCCTGAAGTTATCATTTTCACAAGGGGATGATTTCTACCTGAAGCGTTAACTTCTCATGAAGTCAGATTTTAGAAAATAATCAAAAGGTGACATGTTTTAACCTCAATGTAATGACAGGGACATGTTTTAAATCCCTGTGTAGAGCTGATTGGTATCATTCTTCTATGTAGTATAAATTAAAGGTCCCTTAACTGTAAGAGATGTAAATACACGAACTGTGTCTTTAGGCTGTGCAGTTTTTAATTATACTGGACTGGAAAACTTAAAATATTGTGTTATGCTATAACAACAAAAACAGAAATGAATGCAGGAAAATTATGTTTAAAAAGAGTCTAAATTTGAGTCAAGTGTGTTTGTGCTTGTGTGTAAAGACAGAGACAGTTAGAGCTCTGAAACCTTGTGCTGTGCTACACATTTAAGAGTTGAAACGTATAAATCATTAATGTTAAATATTAACACTGCCTCTGCGCTTAGAAAAAAGGAGTTAATGAATGCTCTACTATCACTGCTGCAAATCTTATTCTGAAATTCGTGTTTACTGCGTCTGGCATCTCATTACAAACCTGTGAGGACCCTCATGGCCCCGTGCACAGCATTGACATCCCCGCTGACCAGCATCTCCATCAGCAGGGTGAACAGCTGCGGCCAGGCTTCAGGCCAGTCCCAGTGGGCGATGGCCGACACGGCATACGCAACACTGGAGCGGACTTTGCTGATCGCCTCCCGCAGACCGCTTGGCAGCAGCTCCCGGATGGCGGCTTTCGCCTGGAGGGAGACAACAACAGGAGTCTGACAACGCTCGGCTCAAGAAGCCCTCTGAGGTCAAAGTAAAGAACAGTTATGAGAGGTCGAACTGTTGCCAGTAGCAGACAAAATAAATGTTTTTAAAAGGTGAAGAATGCGTCACCTGATCTGTGGTTTCAGGAGGCCTGAACTTCTCTGACTGGGAGCACCAGTGAGTCTCCACATACTGCTTCAGGATGACTGATGCTAACTGCAAACACAGACAACACACACGATCAATAATGTCACAATAACTGTGTACGACCTTCGTTTGACAGGTGTGTGTGTGTGTGTGTGTGTGTGTGTGTGTGTGTACGTATGTGCACAGATTTA